CACAGACAGTTCTATAGAAGCATTCTAAGACCAGGCCCATCAACATGCTCCACTATTTACGGACATGTTGCTAAGCTAAATGTTCATCTGAGAGTCAACAATTCAATAAACTTTTGAGCCTACACACAAGCCAAGGCAGAGCAGACAACCCAAGAACATTTCAAAATGCAACCCCCAATACAGACCCATTTGTTGACCTACATGACCATATATGTACATTCATCAGAAGGCGCTCACTCTACATGACCTGGAGGCAAATTAAAATGACATCACTTTAAGCAGTTCCATTTGGAGCACTGATGACCTGCAGACGTTGCTAAAAACAGAGCCAACAAGCCAACTGAGACCTAAAGACCAATTCAGAGCTAGACTCAAGGACAAGCACATACGTAGACGGAGCTCATCAAAAGCATAGACAGTGCGCGGCTTCAAGGCTTTCAGCTGAAGTTGCCAAGATGCTACACATAAACACTGAGAAGTCAACTAAATAGTTGCCATTGCACAGTTGCTGTTGCTGTTGCAGTTTCTGCTGCAGTTGCAGTTGCAATGGCTGGGGCACAGTTGCAGCTGCGTCTGAAAATCGAGTGGCAAAAATGATGTGAAGCATCCATTAAAAATTGGCCCCCCTCCTGGTTGAGCAGCATTTTTGTGCTGCGGCTGTTGCGAAAAAGAACAGGAAACTTGGCAAGCAACAAAAAAAAAAATAATAATAATAATAATAACACAGAAGAAGAAGCAGAAGCCGAAACAGAGGAATTTAGGTTTTTTTTTTTTTTTTTGAATATAAATGTTTGGTCAGGTTGGCAAAGATGAGAGCTTGTAGCTCAGCAGGTTGGCGATTGTAGCCGGGCAGGCTCAGTCAGGCAGCAGCAGCACTTGTTGTTGTTGTTGTTGTTGCTGTGCAGAGCTTGCAACGTAAAGATGACCAACAACAACAACAACTGCTTGCGAAAGATGTAAAATATTTGTGAAACGCTTTGGCAGACGCAGCTAAAACAATAACAACAATAACGAGTCCAACAACAACAACAACAACAAGCAGAGTCCAAAATACCTGAGCTGCTCAGGAGCTCTGCATTTTTGTTGTTGTTGTTTTTCTTTCGGGTAACCCTATCTGGAGTCATTGATTGGGCGCATGACGCAACCGAAAAATGGGTAACCCGCAACAGCTCTGACCGATCCATCGAAACCAAAACAAAAGCAATAACAACAACAAAAACACGTTGAAAAATAAAACCCCAATAATTGGCGACATAATTGCAACTTAATACCACGCTTTTGACTCTTTTCATTTAGTTAATTATATCGACAAAAATAACCAACCGACAATAACAACAACAACTACACACAAATAACATACCAAAAAGAAGAGCAAGAAAAGTAAATGAAAACAAAAAAAAAATGTAGAAAGAACAGCTTGATGAGTCGAAGTTAAAATGCCCTAACTAATAATCTATAAATATATATTTGACTTATGTATATGCACATATAATATTATTTTATAAGTCTTTTCATACATTTTTATATGTATATATATATATGAAAAGAATTTTCATCAATTTCAAAAATGAAAAAATATTTTATACATATAAAAATGTATGAAAAGACTTATAAAATAATATTATATGTGCATATACATAAGTCAAATATTTTTTTTTTAGTTTAATTATAATATATAAAATATCCTCTATATATAAATTTAATATAAATGTAATATCTGTGACACATGCATCGAAAAATAATGAAGCAAAAATAAAAAAAATTATAAAATAATATATACTTATATCAAATATGATTACTTAATAAAATAAATTATAAAATAATTTATGCTTATATCAAATATGATTTCTTAAAAAAAAAAAACATTATAAAATAATGTATATTTATATCAAATAAGATGTCTATATTTTTTTTATTTATTATGTCTGAAGCTCTAGATTCCGAAATCCGAAATTAAATTATTATTATATTTAAATGAAAAAAATAATAAAAAAATAAAAATTATATATACAATATTATATTTAAATGAAAAAAAAAAATAAATAAATAAAAATAAAAATTATATATACAATGTATAAACTTAGTTTCTAAAGTTCTGAAAAAAATACGAAATATATTTTACGCCTCTGATGCCTATGCCTTGGAATATCATATTCGCCCATTAATTTAATCTTCGTTGGCATCAATAAAGTAAATATATTGTAGAATAAATACTTATTAATTTGTATCCATAACTCCGACATATATAATTTACCCTCGAATCATAGCTAATTTGTACAACTTGTATCTAAAGCATAATGAGAGGTTACTCCGAATCATAATAATATCGTATAATCACCATTTCCAAAATATAGAGTATGCATATGAGTTTAATTCACACACACACACACACACACGCACACGCACACTCTCGCACAATCTCCCTCACAGTAATGCGCATTAACAATGGTCTTTCAACAGGCTATTCACGTGCAAAAGGGCGCAGAGTGCCCGGTTGCTGGGGGGGTGCTGAAGGGGGAGTGGCTGGGAGCCGGTGGTTACCTACCTGCAGCATCAGCTCACGCAACTTATCCAATTCGTCGCCATGCGACCTTGTCGGCAGGTATCGGCTCTCGCAAGGCTGCGGCGGCACCAACAGGAGCAGCAGCAGCATCAGCGACAGCAGCAGAGGCATCGGCAGCGACAGCGACAGCGACGGCGACGGCGACGATTGCAGCCTGGGCAACGGCATCGCAGTCGCAGATGGAG